ATTAATCTGGAGCAGAGTTTGAGATCTTCTTCTGAGCGCGTCTTTCCGAGGCGAGGTCGCAGTGACAGAGTTTGTGACACATTTGGAACCAGGGTATGAAACTGTTCAGACTCATCTGAGGACAGCACAACTCTGCTTGTTTAGAAGCAGCTGCGTATTGAGCTGGAGCTCAAAGAACTCATGGCTTTTGTGTCTCCTGTACTACAGGCCTGAAAACGTACTTCATCAACGGCAACGGTGCAGGCAGCAGAAGGTGGGACATGCAATGCTTCTTGGAGGGAGATGTAACCTAATACAAAATATATTCAACTTTCTGAAAAAACAGGCACGGGTGAGGATTAGCTAGCTGTATCTTCGAAGTGAGGGCTGTAGGGGTGCTTCCAGGTTACAGATAAAGCTGTTCGTCCAGAAAGAAATTCTCAGTGCAACAGATACTAGCAAAGCCCCACAAAATGTCACATGCAGACTGATTTCATAGTTAGGAATATATTTGCTGGTAGAAGATGGAGTTAATCTGCTGGGTATCGCTCTGGAAGAGGCTAGAACCACCTTCACTGACTTTAACGGAAAGGCAGTCTGCTTTCCCACCATCTTCTCTTCACTTCCCTGCCAATGCACGCTTTCCCCTTTCAGGCTGCTCAAAATGGTTTCTGCTGTCTTCCTGTGAGAAACTCAAGCTCCAGCTCTGTTTAATTAGATATTGGATAACCTGGGTTGTTGTATTATGAACACCTAGGGCAAGAGTCTAGAAAAACGAATCAGTCTGAGATCAAAGAGCAATAGTTCCAGTTTTAAGCCAAGTGAAGTGATAGGAGGTATAGAGCATGAGACCTAACAAATCCAGAACAACTGTTAAAAAAAATATTGAATGACCCTGGTTGTTTGTGTCTGCTGGCTCATAATATATTTGTGATTGCATAAAGAAACAGACACATAAAATGATCTTTCTCAAAGATGCGTGAAAATTATTAATTTTTACAAAAGGTTTTCTTACGCTTTAGTTCCTTTACGTTCCTCTCTTGCTTCATAGGTTTGGGAATCGGGACTTACATTTGTTCTACAGGAAATTTTAGATACACAATGTAATTCCAACTTGCAAAAGCAAAGGATGAAGGAATTCTTTTCTGTTAAATGCTCGTCCTGGCTTTCAAAGAAAGGGAGGAAAGCACAGCGTGCGTGCCTCTAAAGGAGCTGCTCCAGTGATACACAGCGTTTCTGTGGCCTCAGGTACCACGCAGGGAGTGCAGGGGTCTGTAGTTTGCTGCCTACCCCGGTGGACGCTAGTGCTAGAGGCAGGGTTTCTAAAGAGAGGTGGTATCTTTCTAACGTTGCTGGACTAGTGGGTGGCAGCGGGGCACGGATGCACTTCTGGGCACGCAGGCCTTCTTTGGTGCCGTACGTGGCAGGGAGTGCAGGGGTCTGTAGTTTGCTGCCTACCCCGGTGGACGCTAGTGCTAGAGGCAGGGTTTCTAAAGAGAGGTGGTATCTTTCTAACGTTGCTGGACTAGTGGGTGGCAGCGGGGAACGGATGCACTTCTGGGCACGCAGCCCTTCTTTGGTGCCGTACGTGCTGGATCTCATGGTTGTTCCTGGGTGAGGGCATCTGCTGCTCCATCACGGGGCTCGTTCCTCCCTCTGTCTCAATAAATCAGCTGTGAGCTGTGGAAACCCTACAGGAGTAGGGGCTTGCTGCATTTTCACCTCGGGATAACCCACAATGTTGGGTTGGAAACGAAGTGAAATAGTGGGCTGCAATCCCTGCAGGCTGGGAGAGGAACGATCCCAGGTCTTCCCAGATCCCTGCAGAGTGGGGTGAGCCCAGACCTCCTGGGTTAGATCAGAGAAGCAATTTTGGAAAGAAGAGGAATGTACAGGCCTCTGGGTTATTTTTTCTCTTTGAAGGAAAGTAAGTGCTTCCAAATGTAAGCGTCAAAACTCCCCGAGGATGGAGGCATTGCTCTGCAATCGTAAGTTAACCCCACACTTTGGCCTTGGGATGAAGGCATGGTTCGTCTCCCACGTTTTCTCCATGCTAGCTCTTTGCTCAGCCAGCTAAAATCCACTAAATCCTTTCTTGAATGTTTAAAACTCCCTCTGCTCTGAGCAGGGAAGCCCCAGCACCACATGTGCGGTTGGCCAGACTCAACCCCAATGGCGAGGTGCTTGCAAGGCTTGGGGCTGTCATGGGCAAGCGTCTCCCAGGGCAAGGTCGGTGGGCATGTGTAGTGCCAGGGGTGGATTAGAAAGCCTGTGGCTTTGGCACGCTCTGCTTGGATATGTGAAGATGTCCTTGGTTATAGGAAAACTTTCTCAAGACCTCCGTGCCATAGAATTTTGTTTTTCGATCTGCAGACACAGTGGGACCCGTGCCATCTCTGCAGCTGATGAACCTTCAAGTTCATTGCAAAACCTTTCAGCCTTCAGATAATGAAATGTATGACTCTTTTCTCCTCCCCACCCCAAAAGTTCAGCAGCCCAGCAGCAGTACCCTTCCTCCTACAGCATCCACCAGGCTCTCCCTCCTGTCTCCTGCCAGCCATAGGCCAAGCTCTCTTGGTCTTAATCTAGTTCCCTGTGGGGGCAAAGGGGCTCAGCTATAATGACAAAAGCTCTGATGGTTATAAACATCATCTGCTCTCCCAAGAGCTCCCCTGCCACACATACGCTTCTCCTTAAGAGCTTGTGGTCTCCGTTCACTGCAAAGGCTCTGTGAGTCAGCAAAGCTCGTTGGAGCGCTCACGCACCTTCACACAGAGCTTTGTAAATACTGGGCTTTGGTTTTGCAAAACAGCCAAGTAAAACTTATCTGTTTATGTATCTTCCAGCCTTCATTTGTTAGGTGCAGTTCCGCTGCCACCAGGCTGACCCCAGTGCGGCTTTGCATGCCTTCTGCCCCGAGATGAAGAGCAGGTCTTGTATTGCCACCTCAAGCTGCCTGGGAGGGAGCTAGCTGGCAGGTAGTTGAATGTGTTTCTGACCTACAGGAAAGAGTAAGAGTCTCCTTAGGTTTGTAGAGGTTAGGGGCATGGTGACTATTAACTCATCTAGCCTGCTTGCCTGTGTGTCATGCACAAGTTTCACCCACGTGTTCCTTTGCTAAGCCTCAAAGATTTTATATTGCAGTCTTCTGGGCCACAAAGAGAAGGGAAAATGAAGCATCTCCAAGTGGTCCCAGAAACAGAAGTGCTCGCAGCAGGTAGGTGGCTTACAGTGGTAGGCTTGTCTCCTGGCCGTGGATCATCTTTGTGATTCTCTCTTGAGTTTTGCTACGTCTCTCTGAGCTGTGGGACCTTTCCAAACCATGCCGTGCCGCCGCTGTGTGGGACAGCGATGCGCAGGCTCCAGGCTAGCCGTGGGTCCAGAAACATGAGAGCAAATCAGGACAGAGACAAACGAGGTGAGCCGGAGGTTCACGGCCCCTGGTGCTGGAGGGCGGCACCATGGCCGGCCTGGCGTTGCACCGTGCCGTGTTGCCCGCAGCAGTCCCACGCGTGGCTCCCAGACGTGGTGCTTCCCCCCTGGATAAGCCTCAAACTCCTTGCGCTGGGTTGGGACGGTGGAAACAGGCTTTTCGCACCAGGCTTTTATTCGGATTTTTAAATCCTTTACTAACTGAATTAATGTCTCTTTGGTTTTCCCATCACCTTTTGTACTTGTGTGTTTTATCACTGCTTGTGTATCTCCTTCCTTAGTAGAAATGTCCTTCTATCTAGACTAACAGTTTTAGGCTTTTTTGGTTTTGAACTTGCCTGTGGAATTGTGGATATCTTTTTACAAAACCATGTTTTTGTCAGTTCTTTCTATTGCTAATTTTTGTTGCCCATCAGTTACAGTAATAAGTCAAGTTTGGGGATACTGATGCATTTACATTTCTGTCATACGTTTCCTTAGTTAATGCTTTATTCTACTTGATCCTAATATGGTCATCGTTATGCACAGCCACCTGCTAATTCTTCAATCTGTAAGCTCTATTTCTTTTTCTTTTTTGTCTGTCTGAATGAGGTCAGTGCCCATCTCAAGTGTGCTGGGTGCATGACCGTCTAAGGTATTTTTTGAATGACCACATGAGTTCTCCAGCAAATATCTCTGAGGCTGAAGTCACCAGTGATGGTAATTCCTCTTTCTGCACATTACAAACAGATGGTTGAGGAGATGTTCCATTCACTGGTAAAATTTGTTCTGTAACAGATGCCTGCCAGCTGCCATTCGCTGCCCTGCTGCGTGATTTTATAGAGCTAACGAGATTAAGAAACTGTCGAAATTGATTTTTGCTTCTAAACAGAGCAGATCTCATTCTGAAAATGCAGGGAGGGCTGGGTCTCAGGTGGTGCAAGCTGGCCCAACTCCAGCGAGAGGTCAGCGGAGCCGAACCGCTTCACGTCGGCCACGGCGCTGCCTCGAACAGCAGCTCTCTTAAATGAAAGCGTCGACACCGAGAAACCAACGGCAACGACAAAAAGTTTCCAGAGTAGAACAGCAGTGCAGAAGTGGGAAGAGGGGAGAGTTTGGGACAGTTTGAAAAACTACGCTTCACTCATACCAGCAGTTTAAAACTGCTGATGCTTCTTGAAAATCACCTTTCGCTGGAAACTCCGGGACATCAGATAGCTTGCTGCTCAGCCTCAGTGCCATGGCAGAAGGTTGTTTTGCAGCCTTCCAGCTTGCTCGCTAGTGAATCGACACTTCCCACCTGTAGCCACCGGGGCTGAAGCCGCAGAACCTCCCAGGCTGAAATCCTTCTGCTGATAAAAATCTAGCATGAACTCGGCGTGAAGCTGTGGAAAAATGCAGATGTATATTTTGAGAATCCGTGGTCGGGCTTTGAACAATCAGATGAGTATTAGGAGCAAAAAAAAAAAAAAATGCAGTAGTTTAAAAATAACAGATCTACTGCATGGCAGCCATAAAAGGAGATTTTAAGGAAAGGAACAGAAAATCGTGCCAGGCGAATGCATGAGGAACAGCATTGATACGGCGTGTACAAATTACAACGTACATATCCCCTTTCTCTCCAAGATGTGAGAAGGTTACAGGAGCAGCCAGAGCCCACTGCTGAAATTCTGCTAGTACAGATAACAGAGTTGGCCGCATCTGTTTATCACGGGAGACTTTTGCTGAAGGCTGCTGCTTTTGCTTATGTCTCCAGCCAAAATTTAAACTCCGATCAAAGCTTTAGCAATGCTTACTTGAACAAACCAACTTAAACCATTGTGGGCTGTTGGAAAGCATCTGTGACCCAACAGATTTGAATAGTGAAAAATGTGACATTCAGCATGACCTTTCCTTCCCCACTTCTCTCACAGCTCCTTTCTTGTCAGTAGGTGTTTGAATCTCTACCATCTTCCGAGTCTCGGTGCCTGCTACGCGTAGTTCGCTGCATCCATCCCACCAGGATCACTAGTTGAGGGGTCATTTGTTCCCTCTCCTCCGTTCTGTAACGGGACGAGGAGGCATTCCCCGGCTCGCCAGACGCTGTCACGGGCTTCCCAAGCACCCTCGTCCCCAGCGAGGAGGACTCCGAGGTCTGTCGTGGTTTGATCTAATCAGCAATAGAGTTCAGGCCTGCCGCAAATGTCCCCTGCCATCACCACCCCTCAAGCCCAGCCCGTCTTTACTCACTGTTTGCCCTCTGCCTGCATCAAAAGTCCTTTGTGAAGAGCACAGTTGCTCCTCTGTAACTGATCTACATGGAACAGGTCATCAGCCGCTTATGAGCTTTCCTTTTTTTGTTTTTCAGTTTTTTTCTTTAAAAAACCCGTGGTATGAAGTCATGTTAGAAATAAATAGTCTTGTACTTCTCCCTTAATTATGGAAAGAGGAGCCGTGTTAGGCTATGTGTGATTTTCAGTGTCAGCTCCTCACCTGGGAGGATGAGTGGGTTTCCATACTGCAGAACAGGTGTCTCCACAAGTTACTGCTATCGGATTTTGCAAAACCTGAAGCTAAATGCTTGATTTTCTGCAAGTCCAAAGGATGATCTTTGAATTGCCGAGAGCCTTTCCTCAAGGTGACTTCGAAAGCTGTCTCCCTCACCCCAGCAATGAGATCTCTGTGCGTGGCATACAGCTGTGACGCTCCCTGGAGACTTTTGTCCGAGCCAAGAAATGAAGAGCCCCATCTGATGGGGTCACCGGCTGCTAATGAAGTTGCACGTTCATAAACTACAGCTAGAGCCCCCAGGGAAAACCGCCTGTCGTCCCTGCTTTGGGAGGCACAGTTTGTCTGTGTCGTAGCAGCTCACAGGACCTGGGTTGAGGAGGACTGTGTGAGGGATCGCTTAAGCAATCTGGATGTCCACAAATCCATGGGCCCTGATGGAATGCACCCACGAGTGCTGAGGGAGCTGGCGGATGTCATTGCTGAGCCACTCTCCATCATCTTGGAGAGGTCCTGGAGGACAGGAGAGGTGCCCGAGGACTGGAGAAAGGCCAATGTCACTCCAATCTTCAAAAAGGGCAAGAAGGAGGACCCAGGGAACTACAGGCCAGTCAGCCTCACCTGTTGAGGGAACTGGGCTTGTTCAGCCTGAAGAAGAGAAGGCTGCGAGGGGACCTTATAAATGCCTACAAATATCTGAAGGGTGGGTGTCAGGAGGATGGGGCCAAGCTCTTTTCAGTGGTGCCCAGCGACAGGACAAGGGGCAATGGGCACAAACTGAGGCACAGGAAGTTCCGTCTGAACATGAGGAGGAACTTCTTCCCTCTGAGGGTGACGGAGCCCTGGAACAGGCTGCCCAGGGAGGCTGTGGAGTCTCCTTCTCTGGAGATATTCCAGCCCCGCCTGGACAAGGTGCTGTGCAGCCTGCTCTGGGTGGCCCTGCTTGGGCAGGGGGTTGGACTAGATGACCCACAGAGGTCCCTTCCAACCCCTACTATTCTGTGATTCTGTGATTCTGAGAGCTGCTGGAGGCAGTCTGCTCTGTGGGCTTGATGTTTGACCCGTCCCAGGATCAGGTTCTTCCTTCATT